TTTTTTTTCAGATGAGCTCAATAGTGCACGAAAAATTGGACGTTTTCATGAAGAACGTTGCTCCATTGGCCGAGGACCAGATTTGTTTCGATATTTATGAGTAAGCGAGTTTCACGTTTTCTTATCAACGCCTTTTCCTCAATAACATCATTTCACTGCGAAATTTCGTAAAACTGAAAATCCTCGAAAGATCTATAGAAGTGAAACATAGAGGAATGTAATACTTCAGTAACGCTTTATACCATCACATAATGCCAGTTCCGGAGCACTTCATACCAAAGGATGCAATGATTACAGCGCAGAAAATTGGTACAACCACGCTCGCCTTTCCTTTCCGAATCAAATATTACACCAAAATGTATTACGATATCTGCATTCAATCAGTTGTTGATAAATAGCACATGCACCTAACTTAACGCACAAATATTGAGTGCATAATTTAATCGTTTTTAAACTACAAAAATTTGGCCACTTCACAATAAATTACAAATGTTATTCTCTGATCAAATGTGACACCAATTGCTTCCGTGCAACGCACACTCATACAAATGTTCAAAGAAAACCGAAATTCAACTGACATCACAATATCAAGGCGAATCAATGCTGAAATTCGACTCAGTTNACACAGGTGTCGCCGAACGTTTTACTGATGATAATATTATGCTAGATGAGACCAGCTGTCAGATCGGAAACACCAACCTTTTCAATGTCAATCGTTTTTGCCTCAAAATCGCTTAACGTCAATTCGTTCAACTCGCTCATCAGAAACCATATAAAACCCTTCTTCGCTATTTTACACATTTTGTTATCCTATGAACATGGCATCGCATCTTGTTGAGCAGACGTACCCTTGAAATGAACTTCGGTTGTTGGTGGGGTCAAATGCCTGTTCATTAAGTGCACCAAAATGCTAACAGAGTATGGAATGGAACGCATACTCTGTTGCGAGTGCGTTCGGAAACCTGAGAAGTTCGTACTCGTCCAACCCTACGATTAATAACAATATGAATGCCGCTGAAGGAAGTAGAGGCCAATGACGTGAACTGTACAGATCACTATCACGACAATAGTAGATCTTTGTCGCTGAAAAAGTCATCTATGTTATAGCCAAACTGATTGCATTTTGGAATTGATGAAAACGCATCTTTTCTAAGTGAAGTCTAAGGATGTTTGCAGAAAATTCAAAGCGCTTACGTTGGATGTGATCGCGAAATGCGCATTCGATTTACCATCGGATTGCCAGAACAATTGTAATGACCCGTTCATATTGCACAGCAAAAACTACTTCAATGAATTACCATCGCCAGAACGAAGTATTCTAATGCGCATTTCAGGTTTGTTTCGAATCATTTTGCACTGCTGCGAACACCTTTTCAACTCGCTACATTCAACTTTTAATTAGTTCACATGTATGCGAAACAGTCAGCCTTCCGCTTGTTCTTGATCGCTACACGTGGGCGATGACAGCAATATACAATGACATGTTTCAAAATCTTGCACTGTTTACTTGAAATTATATTTCAAAAGTGCTGTTATGAATTATTTTCGAGTCAAGAACGGTGGGAACGACCAAGGGGACAAAAACACTGTTGAACAACCACTAAAAAAGCGACTTGTTGCCGAGAAATGAGAGGCGTGACTGGTGATTGGCCATGGATGAGAAACTTTTACGAATGCTTGCAAAGCGTGATAATGAATGAGAGAATGATCAATCATTGCTGCCATTCGATTATTTAATAATCGAAATGTAATTCCAGTGATACTTCCTGAAATAGCATCTTACTGCTGCGATCTTTACACCCGAACGAGCACATCTGGACAGTCGGAGAGTTGGCTGTTTGAAAAACTTGCAGAAAGAATTCAGCTAAGAGCAAATGAATTTGATGATGTACGCAGTTTGAATCCATCTGAAATATATTCGGAAAGAATTCATCCATTTAAATAGCTCTATGATTTGCCAATGAAATTCATATTACCTATAACTTATGGAAGGAATTTTCAATTCCAGCGATTCCATTGAACTGATACCTCAGAGAGCTAGAAAAGTTAACAGATACAGCAACAAATTTATAGCAACGCTCCCGGAAATTTTCAAACAATCTGCCGAACATGCGTTGGTCATAAAAACTGAGTAGATCGGAGCTTGCCGGAATTTACCGTGTATTGAACATTCGATAAGCATATCTGATCAATGAGCATCGGAGAAAATGAAGGAAACATTATGTGAACTCACACAGAACTCAAAGCAAGAAAAAAACATTCAAGCATTTCAGAACAACGAGAACGTCGACGTAATCAAGCTCCTGCTAGACCGATCCACATTCCAAACAGATGTGGTGAGTTAACGTTTCGTGACAACAATTCCTCACCTCTCCGCGACCTCGGAAGACTTCTGAAAATCGATTTCATTACTTCAAATTTCGTGAATTCCGAAATGCTCTTCGACGGAAAGATCAACAATCCTATTTCGGATTCATCCATGCTGGAATGCAAGATGAGTCCGAAATGAAAATTCGCGTATTCTCTGTTCTCTTCGTTTGAAATTGCTTGACCTTTGCAAAATTTTAGCAACCTTGTAATTGTCATCATTGATTCCAGAGCAAACGCAAGGGTGCCATATTGGATTCACGGCAGATCAGCAATAATTGTTTCGCGTTTCTGCTGGCTGGCTACGAGACGACCAGTACATCTTTAGGATTTACCGCATGGCTCCTTGCAAAACATCAACGCCAGCAAGAAACACTTTTCGACGAACTCAACGAAAACTTGCGCAATTTGGTTCGTTTCTCAATTGTGCAGCATTTATGCACGATTCAAATCGCGTTGAGATTCAAATTGCGTAAGCAAATTCGGGCGAAAAACGACTGTCAATTGCGTCTGTTGATTATCTTGCAAGCAATTCGCTTCTTCCAGGAAGGTGATGAGTTCTACGACACTGTGATGAGTCTTCCTTATTTGGATGCAGTTTTTCACGAAGCTCTACGTATGTATCCACCAATTACATTGTGAGTGAGTGTACACACACAACATTTCGTATCTCTTCCAGTCGTTATTTGTTTGTAACGTTTTGTTTCCAATTAACAATTCGTAATCCTTTGCTCTACCTTATGGGCATTCCAAATGCTCTCCAGTCATAACTCCGTGAGTTTCAATTGCTGCTAACACCATCATAAAAAAAAGAGAACTGGTCAGAAAGCGCTACGTGATATTCCTCGCATTGCAACTCTTCCGGAGATAAGTGATTATGCTTGAAATTTTGTTTATTACCATTCGTTTTGAGTTTGAATAATCTAAACATCACTGAATAAAATTTCAGCTTTGTGAATCGAACTTGTACCAAACAATGTAACGTCGATGGGATTAACTTCCGTCCTGGTATTCAAGTTGCAGTGCCGATTTGGAATATTCATCGAGATGCGAAAAATTGGCCTCAACCTAATGCCTTCCGACCGGAAAGGTTCAATCGTCTGAAATGAGATTATATCGAAAAAACGATTCAATGAAACTCGAAAACATTGATCATTTCTGTTGTCATTAATGTATGAGTATTAACAGAGCAGAAACTGATAGTAGAAAGAGACGGAAACCAGTGACTGACCAATATTTGCGCTGGGCTGCATTGTATTCCTTTGCAATGATTGATAATTATGCGTCGAATTTCGTCCTTCTAATACAGGTTTTACAAACGAAAGGATTATCATCCAATGTCATGGCTACCGTTCGGAAGTGGACCGAGAAACTGTGTCGGTGTACGGTTCGCAGCAATGGAATATAAGCTCACACTCGCGCGCCTGCTTCTTCACTATCGACTCGTCTTTGGTGCAACTTCAGAGGTTTGTTTGAGATCGATGCACATGAGTCCACATCAATCCTCAAAGCACGTGGTGGATTTATATCACATTTTATCGACTTTAACTGAGCATCCGATGTATAGCAATAGATGTGAGTAAATCAGTAAATAATTTTATTTTAGAATGAGAGGAGAAAATATATTTGGAGACCTATATGAGTATTTTACTCGTACTAATGTTTGTAATGATCTGGAATGAATGGAATAATGATGCCGAAAATTTTCAGGATCCTCTTCCGTTGAAGAATTCCACTGCAATGTTGAGCACAGATCATGTCAATGTGTGCCTAGAGCGAAGGTCTTAACCTTAACCATTAGACATTCGTTCTTTGCTTCCATATAAGCTCATTCTAGCTGTCATATCAACATATCACCACAGCGATAGTGCACTTCAGACTTCATGTTTCGTGGAACAATTGACCAGTTTCGGATGCTTCCACGGATAAATGATTTTTTGAACTTCATTAGGTGGTCAGAATTCGAGCAATACTTCATCTTTGCAGTTTTCTCTAGCATTTGCTGGAGAAGTTAAATTATTTATATCTCAAAACAAACGATCTTGTTGTTACGGAATCATCATTGCCTACAGAATGCTGTGTGAAATGCCAAAATGAAATCATAAGTAATCAATGTGAAGTTGGATGTGATTCTTTCCTTAAACATACATTGATAACTGAAATCATAATCTAATGATCGCATTGATATATTATTGTTGCATTAACGATTGATGCGAATGTTGTAATGATTTTATAAGCAATTATCTTAACTAGTGACATTTTTGCGCTATTCATTCAACTTGTCAATGTTTACAGCTGTTTGGATTATATTTTCGCAATGTTCACTCACTTTCAGGATTGCAAGAGCACTGCATAGAAGATTAGCTAGATCATTATCTAGATCATAGGCTTGCATTTGATTGCAGTGAAGCGTATGGATAGCTTTACCTAGATTGCAGAGAGGTTTTTGCAAATTTCCAAGGATAGATCAAAACAATGTTTTCAAACGGTTATGAACCTCGCAGTTGAATAGAGATGAGACCGAGAAACTGAACAAAATTGTTGATTGCGAGAATTTATGATATGATCTGGAAAGTAGATTTCGATTCTGTTGGGATTTTCGCTCATTCCCATGTTATTCACGGTCATTTATTCATTCTGCAGCGTAATCTTTCACGGATGCTTAAAGTCAAGTTGGCATTTATTAGACAGTAAAGGAGGTTGACCACTCAAATGCAGTTCAGTGCAATCCTGATTGCATTATTCACCTTTATTGTGTATAATTTCAAGAAAAATATTTGTTCACTTCTCCCTGACGGTGTTCGTGATGTATTGTAAATAGAGAGTTGAATGGCTTTCATATTGAAATTTATAATATTCCTCCGAGAATCATGACATAACAGCAATGCATTATGTTGAATATGATTCGTATTTAAACTACACATTGCAACTATAATCACGTAATTATGCTTACTTTTTGCAGTTGTGGTTATTCAGCATTTGTCATTATTCAAACGATAAATAATTATTTCCTCTCTTGTTGCAATTCACTCAGCTATTTTCCTCTTTTTTGTTTTTTTTTTCCTACAACGAACATAGATGGTGCGCCGTAAAGGTGCATCCTTGTTCTTTTGTTGATCAACAAGAGGTCAAAGCATGCAGTGAGGTATTAGAAAGAAATAGTCAGGATGTAAGAAGTGGCTCATAAATATAGCTGGATCCTTCTGAGTTCGAATTTTTCACATGTTTTCGAGAAAGTTGACAATCCGTTCTGCATACTGGTGTGAAAAACTGACGATTTAGGTGGTGAAACGTGAACGTATAATCTTTCTGAAGCTGATGCTCCTTGTATGCCATTGGTCGTGAGTTGTATTCATGAAAGCAGCTCGCCTATGTTTCCGAAAAAATCTGTGAAGAGGGGATTTGTGTGCTTTCCTGTAGCTCTTCGTTAGAATCGGCTTCATCTCATTTAATTAGAGAATATTGAATGTGCTTATCAACATGTTCTGAGCATAGCGATGGTTTGAACGCGAATATCCTTCTCATTTCTAACATATCCAATACCAACCGATAGGAAATGGAATGAAAGTGAAGTTAGCGGATGCGATGAGAAATGCAAACCTCTCTTAAAATCCAAGCAGTCCTGCTAAAAACTATGAAAAGATGAAGCATAACACATCAAAAGTTGTTATGAAGTGGAGAGCACATAGTATATTGTGCATTGTGAATATGTTTGTGGACGAATCGTTCAGCAGATTCAAAACGTGAAGAATGCAGTAAATCTAAGAAAAGCATTTCTCTCAACAGACGCACACATCCAACGTAATAATACTAAAATTTAAGCTGCTGCATGTTTAGTTTCTGTTGTTATTACACTCAAGTTCTAAACACACGACTCACCTAATTGATTCGCAGCAGCAATAACTGCCTGACATAATATAGATATCAGATTTTGAGCAGTGTTGCTCATATATTTCGTGGCTCCCTCAAACATCTTGTCTGCTCACCACTATGTTTTTCGTAATTCTGAACAATTGCATTGCCAAGTGACTGACACCAATCAGTTACCTGTGTTCCCCGATTGCACACTGCTTCATTC